GTAAAAAAAAAAGTTGATCAAATAAATGCAGCCTTTGTGAGCATTAGAGACTTATTTCAAAAACATGACTCCAACATCTTTAACAGTATTTATTTTATTTTGCATCATTTTAATTCAACCTCATCACATCTCTGTGTAGATATGTATATAATCCAAGACAGGAGTATTTTGGTTCAGTCGTTGTGCCTTTTACTTTGTCTTCTCTATCTGCTCTTACTAATTTTATGAAGAATACAAAACATGAATTCAAATTGAAGTTATTTTTGTTCAGCGTCGACCCTAATGATCAGAAAAAGACGGCGTGCTATGACATTGATGTAGAGGTGGAAGATCCTCTTAAAGCACAAATGAGCAGCTTCTTGCTCTCCACAGCCAATCAGCAAGAGATTGCCTCTTTGGACAACAAGGTTAGTGCAAGTCTCCCACATCAGTGTAGGCACAGCGGAGCAGATGAGTGAACTTCTAGACATTTTGTTCTGAATTATAGGGTCTCTGATTTCAGCTCCTATTATTACATTTAACCTGACAGCAGGATAATAATTAAGATTTAACAACTTCTGCAGTGCCATCATGTCTGTAAATACACCCTTGATTTTTCACTTTGGTTCTAAATGCTTGCAGATCCATGAGACTATTGAGTCCATCAGTCAGCTGAAGATCCAGAGAGATTTCATGCTCAGCTTCTCCAGAGATCCCAAAAGCTACATCCAGGACTGGCTCAAATCCCAGAGCAGAGATCTGAAGGTCTGCAACAACTTTCATTCTTTCTTTCATTCTACTCATGACTCTTGATATTTATATCATTTTTATATTTATAATATTTTTGAAGGTGAAGTGTGTTTTCTGTTATAGTACTTTCTCATATTTCAGTTTAATGTGCTGAGACAGATACATGTAAGCCAGTTTTAGGATGAGGTCCCAAAAAGTGTAAATACATTGGCTCTGTGCCGGTTTCAAAACATTGCTCAGTTTGTTTGAGTGGTCCGATATGTCAACATCTGGCTCAACCAATGGCATGCGTTTAGGGCAGGACTACCTGTTTGGAACAGGTCAGAAGGGGCAGAGTGTTTGGTAAACTGTTTGGAAATTAATTTTGCTGTTCTGTTGCTGCTGTTAATGATACAGAAATTACACACTTTGAACCACATTTATATAAGCTTCAACAAGGTATTTACTTCATATTCAGTAGTTTTCACTAGTACAATTTGAAGCTTCAACAGCTCCCATACAGTACCATTAAAACTCATGGGTGAAGATCATTCATTTTGGGCTCAAGATTTAAAAAAAGAAAGAAATTAATACTTTAGCAAGGATGCATTAAGATAATTTAAAGTGAGAATAAAGACTTTTATTGCATATTATTGCAAAAGATTTTTAACAAATGTTTTATACATTACAGAATCCTGAAAAAAACAGTATCATGGTTTCCACAAAAATATTAAGTAGCACAACTGTTTTCAACATCAGTACTAATAAGGCTCAAGATTTAAAAAAAGAAAGAAATTAATACTTTAGCAAGGATGCATTAAGATAATTTAAAGTGAGAATAAAGACTTTTATTGCATATTATTGCAAAAGATTTTTAACAAATGTTTTATACATTACAGAATCCTGAAAAAAACAGTATCATGGTTTCCACAAAAAAAATATTAGGCAGCACAACTGTTTTCAACATTGATAATAATAAGAAATATTTAATGAGTGCCAAATCAGCATATTAGAATGATTTCTGAAGGATCATGTGACACTGAAGACTGGAGTAAACTTCAGCTTTGCCGTCGCAGGAACACATTAAAACTAATTAATAAATTAAAATATATTTAAATGGAAAACAGTTCATTTATATTGTAATAATATTTGACCATATTACTGTTTTTTTTTTTATCAAATAAATACAGCCTTGGTGAGCATAAGAGAAAATTCAGCATTGCATCACAGGAATAAATTACATTTTAAAATGTATTAAAATAGAAAACAATCAAAATAATTATTTTAATTGTATATTATAATATTTATTATAGTAATATTTTTCAGTATTACTGATTTTACTGTATTTTTGATAAAGAGCATTAGAGATATCTTTTAAAAACTTCATGTGATTTCTTTCTCTGCGAGCATGCCCCTTAATCTCCTGCAACATGTTTGTCCTGATGTTGTCCTGCATTTCTAACTGATATCACATTTTGATTGTTTGTAGCTGATGACAGATGTTGTTGGGAACCCAGAGGAAGAGAGGAGAGCAGAGTTTTATCATCAGCCTTGGTCTCAGGAGGCTGTTAGCCGTTACTTCTACTGCAAGGTAAGAATATAAAAATATACGATGACTAGTGTGAACCTTCTCCTGGTCTTACTATAAAACAGGGTGTTATAACGGGCTGCACTTTGTCAATGTCTGAACTGCACTGGACAAAAACTGACTGACTCTGTCTTTCTGCTTCCAAAGATTCAGCAGAGGAGGCAGGAGCTAGAGCAGGCCTTGGCCTCGAGGAACACCTAGAACTCAAACCGACCACATTCAGAAAACATGGCTCATTTGTGACAACACAGCCAACACACGGAGGTTCCTGCATTATTTTCTGCAGTGTATGAGGGTTTGTGTGCGCGTCCAGTCATTGTTGTCGCTGTGACCTACAATCCACCATAATGGACCAATCACACCGTTACTCCAACAGCCCCATTGTATAGTATGTGTCTTCCATTCCTGGATGAAATCATCTCACAATGCACTATTTGGATTTCTGTTTTTTAATACCAATCACATCCACCAGCATTTTGAACTTGATGACTTCAGAGCCGGCTCAGTCCCGTAGACTGTGGATCCAACGTTGATTCAGTTGTGATTCAGCTTTCCTTACTGTCAGTCATCAATTCCTGGTATTCACACACATTTTCCCTGTGATTAACGTGTGTTTTGACTCAGTTATTGATGATGTCTCTAATTTAGTCCACACTTGTACCAGTTTTTTTCTTGGGTATTGATCAAAAAGGTCATTTTGAATGCCTGTCAGTGTTGGGAATCAGTGGAGATACAATAATTATCTCCATTATTAACACTTTTATTTAGAAGTGTATTTATGAAGTACTTTGAGGCAGGCAGCTTAAAGAGGAGAATCATTCAGTATTAACTGAACTGGTGGCTTACAGGGTATGTCGCTCTCTGCTGTCTGTCCCTGCCACAATAATGACATTTAGCTGCAATTGTGTATATAAACATTGAAAGATAGGAGGTTGTTTTAACCAAGTATTTAAAAGCTATTCTGCCATATAAAGACAAAACAGTAAGTACACTCGAGAGAGAATGTGACTTTAGAGTTTTTGATTTTTTAAAAGTTTTGATCAATTTTCACACTTTTTTTGATTGAATTATGTGTAGTTGCTGTGTTTTGCCTTTGTAGGACAGTACTGACATAGTCATTAGTTCACTTTGAAGGAATTTGATAGGTCACGGTTTTTGAGAAGCTTTCACATTTGTGACCCTGGAGCACAAAACCAGTCTTAAGTTGCTGGGGTAAATTTGTAGCAATAGCCAAAAATACATTGTATGGGTCAAAATTATTGATTTTTTTCTTTTATGCCAAAAATCATTAGGATATTAAGTAAAGATCACGTTCCATGAAGATATGTAAATTTCCTACTGTAAATATATTAACTTAATTTTTGATTAGTAATATGCATTGCTAAGAACTTCATTAGGACAACTTTAAAGGTGATTTTCTCAGTATTTTGATTCTTTTGCACCCTCAGATTACAGATTTTAAAATAGTTGTATCTCGGCCAAATATTGTGCTATCCTAACAAACCTTATTTCAACGAAAATATTATTTATTCAGCTTTCAGATGATGCATAAATCTCAATTTCAAAAAATTTACCCTTATGACTGGTTTTG